GAGGGCCTAAATAGCACTAGCAATTCAGTGACTACATGATGGTCTAAACAACTGCATCGCAAACTACATACATGGCTAATATATATATAATATATGATATAGCTCTCTCTGCTCTCCCTCTGCTATTTTTTTCTGCAGGTTAAACTGTATTTCATATGTGTAATAATTCCTTCTGGCGGTCTTACTGCTGCAGTAGCTGTATTGTTTCTTATTTTAACAGTGTTAATGTGTCAGGGATTATTTTTCTTTAAATACATTTTTCACCTGCATGAATGCTTTGTATTATCACCTTGTCATATTTACACCATATGTCTCGCATTGAAAATGGTTTCCTTAGTGCACACATACACACCTGTGACTTGTTCTTACATTGTCACTTCCATGCGCTAGTGCTAACATGTGCACATTCTCATAAGAGCACACATGGACCCAGACATATTAATTCATTCATTCTATGCCACACTCACACGGCAGCACCCCATTGCTAGGATAAGAGGTGTAAGCCCAGCTTCTCTCCATTTAAACTACCCCAGCACTTTAGATGCCTGCACGGCCTGCATTCCCAGACAGGCATAACTCTCAGACGCTACAGCCTAAGCACATAGCATGGCATTTTACTGGCCTGTTGTGTTATTGTGACAAAGATCAAAGGTTGAACTTGAAAAGTCCTCTGCAGAGAAAGCCCTGCCAAAGGTGGAATTACATTTCTGTTGAGTTTTTCCAATGGCATGTTTTACAGTGAACGGTCACGTCCTGCGTGAGTGAGTCAAACAATAAGTGGCTTTAACAAGCAATAAAAAGACACTTACAACTGATAAAGCATTTCTTTTAGTTTAATGAAGGGCTCAGCCAACCTCTTGCTGCTGCCCTTTAGTAAAGACAACCACGAGAGCATTTTAATTCTAAGGCCTGCAAGCATGTAAAACGGATGGATAAAGGGGATTTTGGAGGAATGTTGAAGTTTATGGAAATCGTTGAGAAGAGAGAAGAGACGGTGATGAATGCTCCAGGCACACTGTACATATGGCTTTATCATCAGCCACTGAAGGAAAGCTATATAATACATGATCACCACTTGTACTGTCCTTGTCAGCACCACAGGCCAGCTTTAGAAAGAGGTCTTAGTCAACATTGTTTTTAGCTGATGCGTGTTCAACCCTTTATTTACCCGTTACCCTTTATTTACCCCCTGGTTCTCACATAATTCATTACTGTGGCTGGGTATTGTTTAAAATTATTACTTATTACTATTTCTGACCAATACAAAGTTGTAATACGCACACCAAAACAATTTTTATTGCTAAAGCTGCAGCGATTAGTTGATTAATTGATTTATTGGACAGCTATTAAATTAATGATTTCAGTTTCTCAAATGTGAATATTTCCTGATTTCTTTAAACCTTTATGACAGTGTGCTATGCAACCTATAAATATATACAATAATCTTCTTGATTTAAAATACATGAAATTCATTGTTTTGACACCCTTACAGCACCAACAGATTCCATCATTTCCTATCAGCTCATAGAAGCATTGAGGTTTGTTACCAGGGCTGTAGTCAAAACCACATAAGTCAAAATTAAATAAGTCCAGGCAGTTTTGAAATCAAGTCAAGACAGGGTCCAAAATGGTCCTAGTCTCAATAAAGACTGAGCCTTAATATGATAAGATAGACTTTATTGATCCCACACTGGGGAAATTCACTCGCTACAGCAGCTCCAGGTACAACACAACGATAAGAAAATACACTCTAAATAAAAATAGAATAGAGAAATACAAGAGAAAGAGAATAAATAGAATAAAAGTTGTATGTACACTGTATGCAGCTTTTTATACAGATTGGATTGATAGGGAATATTGCACATAGGCTCAAGAGCAAATAACAAACCTGTGACCATTTGTATTCTTCATATTATTGTCTTAATGTTGTTCTTGATTTTTATTTTATTATTTATCTATACTATAGTATAGATTATTATAGTTTGATCAAATCAAATAGTTTGTGTTATAAGCAAACTGGACGTGGTCTAGACTGATGGCTGACAATTTGGAATCAGAATATCCATTAATGACACAGAGACCAGTTAGAACACCCATAAGACTGAGGCATGTTGAAGTCTAACCCTAACACCAAACGAGTCAAAGAACACAGATGAATTAGCAAACAACCCTAGCTAAATTGCCAAAACAGCCACAAGACTGAAATAAACTTTTCTTGAGACTGAGATCCGACAGTTCTACAACCCTGTTCGATGCAAGTCCCTATCCATTGCCACTCAGAATGGATGCTGTTTGAAACTGTAAACTTGACATGTAGGGTTTCATTTCTATTCATTGATATCCCAAAGTTGACTTTTTAGCGGAATATCAAAATCAACTATCAAAGAGCAACTAGGATTCTGTGTGTAGCCTTGGTGTGAGCTGATCCATAAGCATGTTGGAAAGCAGTGTGATAATCTAATGCCCTTGTGAGTGTGTGTGTGCGTACACACACACATGGACACTGTCTTCAAGACGAGCCACTCAGCTGTCAGCTCAGTCTTATGTGGCAGATGAGGCGCTCAGCAATCTCAGTGACAGGCACAAGATGTCCCGAACTGCCAGGGGCGGGCACACTGACACTGACACGCGCACACACACACACACTCCCTGCATAAAATGCAGCTCAAACAGATGCGCTCAGCTGCGAATCATGCCTAGTGGTCAAATATATGTTTTTAGGGATGAACAGGTAGCTGTAGAGGACAAGGCCAAAGCAAGCGAGTGATCTCTTGACATTTTAACTAATCCCTTCTAGCTTGTGGTTTCTTGCACATTTGCGGGATTTGCTAGCAGCCAGAATTGGCTTTTTCACATATGCAAGCTGTCATGTTAGATCGGACAGTGACATGGTACAGACCAGGGATGTGATGGCTCGAACGCTGAAACAGACTGTGATTGGATTTAGATGACACCGCCGGCTCGGGGCTACTGGCCTTTCTGTTCAAGCTGTGGGTTTAGAAGTAGATTCTTTAACTGCTCTGGTGTCTCATACATTGGCAAACATCTCACCATGAAGCCAGCAGCATTAACAAGACGTCCTGTGATATGGCTATATGAGTCTCCTCCCATTGACAGCCTGCACTACTTTTGAATTTACGCCGATAAAACCTGTGATTTTAAATCTCCTGACCTGCCTAGGCCTTCATCATTCATGCTATAAAAGTCTTCCAGTGTCAGTGTTGAGGTTTTCTGTGGTAGCAGGTGTTGCTCAGTTGTTTGTATGCTTCTTAGGAGAGGTGTTATTAGTCATAGTCCCACTTTGGGGTGACATTTATGGTTTCCTGTGACTCCGCTTGTTTTGTTTATGTACACAAGCCCAGACAGGCCACAGTGGCATTGCGTGATACGCGTGAGGGAACAGGCTGTACCTGCCACGGCCCCGTGTTTGGTGGCTCAGGGCGAACACACGGTACCTGTCAAAAGCAGTTAAATCCCCGTTCAGCAAGCTGCCCTGCATAGCATCCCGTCAGACGCCAGCTGAACTTTTCACTTGTCAATTCTGAAAGGTTAGCGCTAAAATCAGCAGCGACAGATGCAAATGGATGGGTGCTTTCCTGGCATTTTTGTGCAGGGATGCTTCATGTCACCTAGACCACCTTGTCTGCCCCCTCCTTCCTCCACTCTACTCTGTCATGGCCTCTCTTTAGCCCCTCTGTTCCCCTTTCAGAACACATCTGTCTACGAGGGCAGGTATAACCGACCCCTTCAGGTCCTAAGTAGTATTTTTGGGGGTTTTGGTTTGCCCTTGAGCCCTCGCCCACTTGGTTTCCCCCTCCATAAGATTATTCCAATTAATTCTCCATCATTAGACATGCGTGAAACCCTTTTTGCCAGGTGCTGCCACAGTTCTAGCTATTGTTTTCTTGAACAGGTTTTGAGTACAATATGTTCAATAGCTGTTCGATAGCCAGTAACATCTTTTAAAACTATTTTTCTGTGCATTTTACCTTTTATTCTTTAATAGTGTACAATATAGACGGACTAGAGAGAAGGAGAGGTTGGGTGACATGCCCGATTTATATGATATTGCGTCTCAACCAAAAGGCCACGAGGATGCCTTGTGATGCATTTTAATACCTCAAAGTCTTACCGTAATTTAGTAAGTTGTTCTCATCCTATTTCAACCAGTTCAGTCTAGAACTAGATGTGCAACCAGAAAGCTATCTGTTGATGAGATGGTCTTAGAAATATGACTTGTAAATAATGTATGACAAAAAATAAAGAGCTCTCAAAGTTAGTAAAGTGGTATCGCAGCTTGTGTGATGCTTGAAAATAAATCTTTTTTTTTTCTCACTGTGAGTTCAAGTCCATCATAATTAAAATATGTGGTCAAACTCGTCTTCAGTATATGAACTTTTTACCTGCGAGGAGGTCATGTATTTGGTGAACTGAATTTGTTGTGCATAAATGGTGTGCCATGACTAAACAATAAAATGTAACAGCCACCTCAGACATCACTGTAGAAACAAATGCGTCAGGTATATAAAAAATAAGCAATCAGGAATGTGTTTATTCTGGAATTCCAGATTTTCCAACCTGCACAAACCTGTTGTAATTGAAGTGAATGGTGTGTGGATTTGCATATCATACTTGACTATTGGCCTTTGTGGAGGTCTACCCTCTCTGAGTGCCGTTCCAGTTCTCTGAATGTTTTTAGTTATCTCTGCTTCACAACTTTGTAATGTCACTATTCCCAAAAGATGATGGAAATGTTGTAATGTGTACCCTGTGTTGATTGTGGCGTCACATTACTATTTGATAGACTAAAGGAACCAGTAACAACCTTTCCCCCATAATGATGACTTATTTGTATAGCGCCAAATCATAACAGAGGTTATCTGAGGACCCTTTTCAAATATAGCAGGTCTAGACCACACCAGCAATTCCCATCATGAGACATGCATCCAAACACTGTCCCATAGATCCTGAATCATCTTTTAATATACCGGCTGTTTCAGGTGGAACTGAAGATGAAGTACAATGACCAGCACTGCAAGTCCAGAGGTCTTCTTCCAGGCCATCGTTGGTATGAGATTCAGGCCTACAGAGCTCTAAACCAGGCCCTGGGGAGGTAAATATGTCCTCTACAGCCAGAGTGTTATGGGAGATTTATTTTGGTGCTCTTTGTCCTTTATACTTAAACCTTCACATTTCATTTTATAGGTGCATCCGCCACAGGAATGACTGGGGTGCCCTAATTCTAGTGGATGACCGTTACAGGAATAATCCCAATAAGTACATCACAGGTACTCAGAGTTCATGTGTCAAAATGCTAAGCCTCTCACCTTGAACACTAGATGGCAATAGTGACCCACTGTAAGGCTTTTGCTAGTGTTTGTCTCTGATGTGTGTGTCTGTGTAATCACAGGTCTGTCTAAATGGGTCCGCCAGCTCGTCCAGCACCACGACACCTTCGGCAACGCCATGCAGTCTCTGGTAGCGTTCTCTCAGGTGCAGCAGAAGATGATGGTGGCCCCTGCAGACACTCAGTCCCCCAGTTCTACTCTCGCCTCTCCAAACGGTCACTTGCCAGCAACTGTAGAGGGACAGGGTCTGTCCAAGGCCTCAGAAGCTCAAACACCCTCTTCATCTGATAAACCGCCTGAACCCCAGCGGGACACAAGCCCCTCGATCTTCCGTTTTTTGTCTCGTACGCAGTTGAAAGCTGAACAAAATGAGAAAGAAGGTGAGCTAAAATCTTAAAAAGGGTAATATATCTTAAGACTTATCTAAGCCCCAAAAAAACAGCAATTTTATATTTTGGTTCTGTGACACTGGTCTCTCTACACACTCTCTAGAAAGCCTATTAACAATGTCACTCTTGAGCATTTTAAATCTGAAAGTTTTACCTTTATGGTAAAATAATTGGGACAATTTTGTCTATATGTACTCTGATGTTTTTGTAAAAAAAAAAAAATAGGGATAAAAAAGTTCCACATCACAGAGAAATAGGGTTGTAGTAAAGTATCAGGCTGATGTTGTTCTGTATCTTTCTTATCTTTCTAGTCAACAAACCCCATGAAAAGACCAAAATTATGGTATGGTACCTGGGTGCTGGAAAATTTAGATCTTGGTTTCACATGTATAGTGTCATTTTTACAAAGGCAAACATTACTCAAACAGGAGTAAATAATGCATTTGTGGGGTACTTTCAAAATAAACTACAGTGTTGTGCGTTCATGGACCACCCAGTGCAACAGTGTGGCTCACTGATGTGTTTTTAATAGCTTTTGGACAACAATGGACTTCTATGGCATAGAGTTATAAGCAATTCACTTATGCCTATATTTCTCCTCTGCAAAAGGAGAAATAGTATTTTATTTTAGTCTTAATATGACTATTTCAAAATATTTGATTTTTAAAAAGAAAGCAATGTTAAAGTTATTTTGCAGTTTGCACAATAAGAATTGAGGTCATTAAAATGTTTTTATGTTCTACGTACTGACAGTAGAATAAGCAACTAAAAACCTATATAAAGGCCCAGTTATGCAAAAAATCTATTGTGAAACCACAAGCTATCTTAAATTTTACACAAAACACTACTGGCTGCTGTGGGATTTGACAATAAGAATATCACCATCCTGTCATCTTAGAAATGCCTTTTATTTTGAAATTTTTGTGAGAAGCCAGGGAACCACAAGTGAAACCAGAGTCGACAATAAAGACTCTCAACTAAAAATTTATATAGAAACAATGTTTCATTATTTTAACTGAGGAAGGGTTCCCACCCGCCCTGGAAAATCTGGAAATTTAGAGACTAGTTTTCTAGTAATGGAAACTCCTGGAATTTGATTAAAATGACCAAATATCCTGGAAATGATCTTTTATTGTATATTAATTGTCTATTGTATTTCAACCTCTCACTTCGATGGCCTACATAAACAACCTGAGACACTTCATCACTAAAAAAGGAGGCATAAAACTGGAGTTCAATTCAAGGCTAGGCCTACCGGTACATTATATGACTCCAGGAAAATGTCCTGGAAAATGATGTCTTAAAAAGAATGGGAACCCTGTTAGGTACATTCATAAGTAAGGGAAAATACTGCTTTAATATGTTAATTCTACTACTAGTATCTGCTTTCATTCTGGTTAATTGATGACAGTGATGTGATAACGTTGTTTCTCTAAAGTCTAAAGTTTTGCTTAATAAGTACATCAGGAGTTTATCCAATAGAATTTTTTGCTGTCTGTGACTTGGTCGGACTCCCTTCTCTTCCTTCATAAATTTAAAGCAGCGCTGTTTTTAAAAGAAAGCGATCAAAAGGTGCATGTAATTTCTGCACTCAAGGATGTACGAGCATGACATCACCACGGGAAAATATGCTTAGGTGACGTGTTTGCACATTGCCTCGGCGAGCACCCATTGTCCTGGGGCGGTGGGGTCATGACGAGGTGGAGCTGTTTTCCCAGTTGAATCGGGGTTTGGTGGATAGGGGTGGTAGCGGGGCAGTAGCACACACCTCTACCCCCTCCACCCACCCCTTGGAGTCGGGGTGGGTGTTGGGGGCGGGGGCCATGGGATCAGTTGAGTGGCTTGCCTCATTACTGTAAGGTCTTTTGCGTGCCTGAGTGGCGCTGGAGCGAGCTGATGAGCAGATGTTGTACTGTTGCTTTTAATTAAATCCCCTTGACCTTTGTTTGGGTTATATTGAGCGTAAGCCCACATTTATATCTTTCTTTATAAAACAGCCACAGCACTCTGCACACCAGTCTAATTTCTTGTTTGCTCTGTTGTCTTTGTCAGAGTATAGCTAGTATAAGGTTAATGTATGTGCCTATGTTTTGTTTTCTTGATGCAGAATGTTTGAAGAAGGTGCAGAGTCCTCCAGCACAGCCCCTGTTGCACCACAAAAGACAGGCACTCCCTCTGTACAGCATTTTCACCCCCAGCCCCGTCAGCAACTTCAAGAAGCCAGTCTTTAATAAAAAAGCACCCAGTAACCCCAGCCAGCAGTTGGCAGCTCCTCTTAAACAAGGGCCTCCAGACAGTTCCAGTGAAATCACAGAGGAACCACACAATCTGGCTCTGGAGCCTTCTTCAGTAACAACCCCTCCCAGATGTAAAAGCGATCCACCCTCAGCAGACAATCCAGAAGAAGACAAAGAGGATGAGAACCAGACCATCTTCTTTACTCCAGAACTTTTCGAGGGAGAAAGCAATGAAGGCAGCCCAGAGATAGAGACCAAGTCTCCTCCCAGGATGGGGAGCCCTGACCTGCTGTCAGAAGAACTTTTTGGCTCTGAGCAGGCCCAAGGGCAGGGGCAAGCCTCTGCTGTTGATGAACAGAGTGCTATATTAGTGAGTAAGGAGAGCACAGAGCTGTCACAGGGACCGAAAGAAGAAATCAGAGGGCAGGAGCAAGGTGAGGAGGGAGAGCAGGTGGATAACCAGAGAAGGCAGGCAGACAATAGGCTTCGCAGGTTGTCCAGGTCCAGGCAGAAAGCTCCCTCCACTCCAACAGGTAACTAACAACCTGGGACTTAGAAATGTTGTGAAAAAAGCAGAATGTCTTGAATGCAAATACAGTGCAAATAACATGTTTAGTATGCATTATGGTGGCCAAAGTTTTCCTACCAAATATTAGCAGTAGATGGATATTAAAACAGATTGCAGTGCAATGTAAAACACCATTCAGTTCAAACCATTGCTGCTTTATTTTTATATCATATATTCATGTTTCACAATTCATCTTGTAAAGAGTGTAAGTTACAGCTAGCCCACACACTCGTACCATGCAGTACATGATGAGGCTTCAGCCATCTCAGATCAGCTTCTTATTACTGTGACAGCACGTCTTATTAAGGCCATTAAGGCGGGTTCTCAGTTAAAAAGACACAGCCATCCGACATTATTGAAATTGCAGCGCTGATTGAATGTGCATTTTAACAAATCATTAAAATATAAAACCACAAACTAATTTGTTTTCTGTAGAAGTATGCAATCATTTAGTTTTATTTTAATGATGTGTCTGTAGATTATGGGTGAGGAATGTGGATGCTTTAGACATGCCTGATTTAACCTAAAGGGTTAGAGAGACCTTTATTTTTTCAATTGCAATTATATAATTGTGTGCTGTAAATGGTATCAGTGTGTGGATACACATCTTTCAGGATAAACATCCATATAAATTCTGTTAATTAAATGTTTGCATTTCATTGATATTTTTTGTCATCCTTTTTCTTGCAGTTTTTTTTCTTCAACCACATTTTCAGTGCACGTTAATATACAGACATAACATTTAGGAGGATCTATTGTCACAAATGGAATATAATATTCATAGGTTTGTTTTCATTAGTGTTCAATCACCTGAAAATAAGAATTGT